ACGCGAGGCACGACTTACCTCCACCTTACGGGAGTTGTCACCTCCCTTCGGTGGGCGTATCCCCGCCGAGCTACCAGTCCACAGTACGAAAGCTAATCAGTTGCAATCGTAGAGGTGGACCAGCCAAGGGCGTTTCTCGTTCTCTGTAGCATAGGGGGTACGCGCAGTAATACGCCTCTATCGGACCCGCATGCGAACCGACATCTTGGGGGGTTGAAGTCCCAAGCGCGACCCGGCGTCGGTCGACTAGGACGCATCCCACACACCACGCGCACACCACTATAAGGAACATAAAAATAAAAACACACACACACGTACACATACATATACCGAACGACACAAAACAATCAACGCGGCAATGCTCCTAGTCCCTTAGTAGCCATCTCATAACTTTCCTATGCGGAATCGGATAGGCGTCGCACGCGAGACTTAGTAAAAAAATCGCGCGTACGCAGGGCTAACTCATATCGACTCGCAATGTAAGCGTACGCAAGTTGTCGCAGTGATGGCGTGCTATGTAGTACCCATACTCATGCGGTCCTCATTAATCTCGAAGGTCGCATTCGACACTCAAGTGTCGACTGACACGCGCCTGGAGGGAATAATCTCTTGACGCTGGACAACCGCCAAGTGCGGTTGAAAACCACACCCTCTTCTGCATCATGCAGAGAGTGGGTGGTACACAGGTTCATACATGTAGTCGCAATCGTCTCTTACTGCCTTGGAGACCAGCTCTATCATCCAGGGCCCGAAGATAAGTCAAGGGGTTTGACTTTGATGGCTGCCATGGACTACAACGTCCAACTATAAAAATTAATAAGCAAAATCAATCAGTAAACAAGTAAACACCCAACACTCATATATCGATTCATGACTCGAGATAAAATAAAAGAGGGGGAAAACATAAACCCATCAGGTATGCAGATCGTGCGTCACATGGTTGTCATTCTCACTGCTTCCAAAGTATGACTCATATACTAAGCTCCAAATACTAACGTGCATAAAACACAGGCACACACAATAGCCACATTGCCATACACCAATGTGGTCAACTTTATTGTTCCCTGTAACTCACACCACACCTCGCACACTCAAACCCCAGTCATAATTCAATTTTTCATAAATCTCATAAATTCTTTATAATGGTCATTTAAAAGAAGTCCGGTTAAAACCCTCAAAGAAACATATCAAATCACAGGGGTAAGACAATTAAGTTGAGGTACAGGTGTAAGCAAAGTTGTGTCGTGGGCCGACAAGTCGACGATCAACCAACCGACCTGTTATCAGTGATAACAGAAAAGATGATCCTCGTAGGATCGAGCTAAATCTAATCCAAATCCTGGATCGAATGTCCAAAGAAGACCTGTATCATAAGACAGGTCAATATCCAAGCTAAATCGTCAATGTGTGGAGATGAAACCCCCATGACACGTTCTCACTCAAGACTCTCCTGATAACCAAGCCTAGATCTATCTCTAAGATAGTGTCCAATGAAAGGTAGGCCTATGGCAGAATCTCCCCCATACAAAGTGGATCGCCAGAGTGGCCACCTGTCAAAATATAATTTATCTCCCCTAAACTAAGAAAATTTCGGCAGCGCTTTCTGTAGGGAAAGTGCCTTTCCATAATTTTTATCAGCCTGAATATAAAAACAAAAATAATATTCAATTTTTCAAAGTCAAATTTTGTCTAACCCTCTAAATTAGCAAAAATTTGGGCAGCACTCCCTTTAGAAAAGAAAACTTCCCAGATTCTTACTAAGCCATATATCAAAATCAGACAAGTCGCACTTTTGGAAAGTCGAATTTTGACCAACTCCTTGGATTCGCAGAAATTTCGGCAGCGCTTCCCGTAGAGAAAGTAGCTTACCAGAATTTATACAAAGCCAAGTTCAGAATCTAAAATGACTTTGACTTTTCAAGGTCCAATTTTATCTAACTCCCTGAATTAGCAAGAATTTGGGCAGCACTCCCTTTAGAAAATGAGACTCTCCAGATTTTTACTAAGTCAAGAAGTCGAACAGATTGAACTTTGAGAAGACAAAATTTGACTAACTCCTTGGTTTTGTAGAAATTTCGGCAACGCTTCCCGTAGAGAAAGTAGTTCATCAAGATTTATACAAGACCAAGTATAATAAAAAATCCCAGAAAATGCAGAAATTGATCTAAGTAAAATAAAGTTAGCAAAGAAAATGCATGAATTGAAACTAACTCATATGAATCTAGCACGTAGCGAGCAACTAAAGCAACTACCTATCAACCGAAACTCAGACTAAGTAGTGGCCGCATTCAGTCACATGAAGGTCAAACCAGAAAGGTAAGTACTCTCACCATCCCAAGTTAACTTAGCAAACAATAATTCATAGTCTTTCAATGATTTATCCCTTTATACCCAACTTACATTGGGCATAAAGCTAAACCACCCAAACTTATGGAACATGTCTAGCCCAGCCATGGAGTATACACAAACACAGGGCACAACAACCTTTCTCTTCTTTGGGCATGTGACTAGGTCATTCCAGTCGCCCTGAACTGTTTAAGTATCTCAACTTTCTATAAGTGTCTGCACTTAGTCTTTTGAGGTAGCATATAACTGAGTCGATCATCTTCAGCTCAAGATTCAGCCTGCCCCTTCGTACCACAAGTTTAGTACTCTCTTCATTTGGTGATAAGCTATAGTCAGACCACCCAAACTTATGGGACCCTGTCTGACTAGCCTGTCCATAAGTAATGTAATGATAAAAGGATAATAAAGTTATAGCGTTCTGGTTCCAGCATGTGCGAGGCATTAGACGAGACCACCCAAACTTATGGGACATGTCCGGTCCTCCGCCTGATCCATTCTTCTTAAAGCCAAAGCAGGAACAGACTGAGTCACCCAAACTTATGGAACACGCTCAGACCTCCTCGTTCAGACAAAAAAACTGACAAAAACCCAAGTAAACAAGGCAACCAAGCCACCGAAACTTATGGAACATGCTTGATCCCTGAAAAGTCATTTACATTCAGCCCTCACAAGGCAGAGCAACCAGACCACCTAAACTTATAGAATGACCTATCTCTCCATACAATCCCACAACACTGGGTCTCCCCAAACTTATGGGGACTTCCCAGCCTCTAGAGCAATCAGACCACCCAATCTTATGAAATGGTCTGATGCTCCAAGCAATCCAAAATAAACACAGCACTAGGTCTCCCCAAACTTATGGGGACTTCACAGCCTTTGGTTGACCCAGTCAAACGTGCAATACTGCCTTCCTCCCATCCTTTCCCCCAGATGCAATCCCACAATTTGCCTTCAGTCAACCAATGAAACTGAAACTGACATTGAACATACATTCTTTTACTTAGTCTGGGTTTTGTCCTGAAAGTCAAACTGAAAGTCAAAGTAAAGGGGCATATTCAGTATACTCAGTCAGACATAGCAATGAATACAAGTAGGGGCTATACTGGGTTTATAGAAGGAAAACAATGATTACCTCTCAGTTCCCTGCCTCCAGAACTCCTCCTGAGTTCCGTCAGAGCTCCCGCAATCGGTGGGCTGAGTTCCCACAGAGTCTTGTTGCGGTCCTACAGGTTGCAATCTTGCCTGCCGCCTTCCTCTCAGAACAGGATTAGACTGAGGGTAAGAAGGGCAGAATGAGGGGTCTCAGACTCTCGAGATACATGAGGGAGACAACTCAACTCTAAGGAGAGGGCCTTGTTACCTTCAGCGCCTGAGGGCCCCGTAATGGCAGCCAAATAACAGTCGTTTGGTCAAGCTCCAGTCAGACTACCGACGTCGGTCCCCCTGTTGCCTCCGATCAAACTGTCGTCAGACAGGTATAGATGCCACAGTATATAGTGATAGTGGCGCCGTAAAGTCAGTCACTGTAGCTACAACAACGGTAACTTAGCACAAAGTGCGACGGTATTTGTAACACCAATTTGCACAGTGCCTATAATAGTCGTGCGCAGTCCCTAGACACCGCCGCAGTGCACTCCAATACTCAATATGCGAAAACCC